TCATTATCAATTATCCTCAATCTTCTTCGAATCGTTCCACTGAATTGACTGATCGCAGAGGAAGCGAGACGGAAAGCGTTTTCCAGCGCGCGTCTGCTCTGAGTAATTATTCAGCACAATTATTTCATTAACCGTTACGAAATCGAATAATACTTCGGGCATAATTCGCTTAAGATAATTGTCAACAACGAATTGAATGGGTGAGTTGCAAGAATTATTTGCATATATCTTTTTAAAATTATGCTTTGCAAATTCAGAGTGAGTTTCTGGTAAGAACGAAAGAGAAATAAAGTCGTTAGGCTAAATAATTGTATTTTAAACAATTAAATCTTGTCTGGCTTGTACTATATTTACATTTTTACATTTCTATATATTAACCCTCAAGTACTGAGGTTGGTTTGCGGGATCGCGCGAAAAAAAAATATATCTGTCTTATTTTCGCTTTCAAGTGCTCCATTTTTATCATGGTACGTTGATTGATAGAACAAAGATTTATAAAATTCTTTTATTTCAGCTTTTTTGAATCGATGTCGCAGGGGCCAACCTCAGTAAAAGTGTCACTATTTTATTTCGGTATTTAAATTATAGTTTTAACGATCAAGGAAATAATTGCTCGCGACCTAAACGGAACACGATGTACACAGTGGTGGTGCAATCCATTCTGTTCGATTTCGCAGACAGCCGGTGATCAGCCGATCTACGTTCCGCTCTGCGCTCGCTATAATTTCAACGAATCGCCGTTAAAACAGCGAAACGGCTCTTCCGCACGATCGCGTTACGTTCGATTCGTAACAGAGAACACCTGACGAGTTCGACAAGGTAGACACGAAACGTACTCTGTTAAGACCGTGTATCACGAAAACGCGCTAGGACAAATCCTCCCATATAACACACACAAACTTTGCGGTTATTACAGTGTTTACAACATTGCTGCAATGTTACAATATTGCAACAGTGCTGTTGTAATTGAGCTATAAGATCTGCGCTGTGTGAGCTGCGCCCTAATACAAAGGTGTGTTAAATCAAAGATATCCAGATAATGCTCGTCGTTGTATTTCAAGATTTGGAGTTACAAATGTGGAGTTATTTAGAATGGTCTTAAAGGAGAGAGAGAGAGAGAGAGAGAGACAGAGAGAAGTACACTTAGCTTGGAAATTTACGTTCTTTTTGGAAAAACATCTGCTTTTTTTATTATTAAATATCAATTATTTCTGATTATATTTTTATTTCTCAAATCAATATCTTTTTTCTCGCATTTAAAAATGTAGAAAATGTGGAAATTTTCTAACTTTTCATCAATATTTTCTTTATTTTGAATATTAAAAATAAAGAAAAATATTTTTAAATCTTATTTTTTATACCAGGAAGAGATATTAATATAAAGTATAAAGATAGAAATGGTCCAAAATAAACGACGGTTTGATAGTACTAAATAATATATGATATAAATAAAAAATTTACAGAGCTTTAATATGCGGGTCACATTTTTGCCGGATTATATTTTACATCCTGTCCAGGGATGTAACGGATAAATTACACATACCAAGATATCGATTTCCCGAGTTGGATGCAAGTCTGACTAATCCACGGCCGCGTCTACTTAGCGCAGCAGACGCATGTCGCGTTAATTACGTGCGAAAGACGATACTTCTTTCGTGCGTTTCGCCGCGTTAATTATCATCCTTGAAAAAGCCGCGCGCAGATCATCTTCAATTTTCTTAAGAAACGAAACACGTGGGTATTCGTGCATATTCAAAGCGGATGATTCTCGTTTTACGATCGCGAATCGTGAAATTCGCACGACGTGCGTGCGAATCGTCGTCGGCAAAAGTCCATTGACGTCAATTAGAACCGAATAAAGAGAATCGCTCGTTCGACGCCGATCTTCCACCGAAGATCCTTGACTCGGAGATCGAGGAGAGACGATGACGAGAATCGTCATATTCGTTAACCCACGTATAAAACGACTCTCTCCGTCCTCCGTCCCTTCCGTAGTCGCCGTCAATTTTGCTCGACCTTCACATTTCACTTATAATTATTTCTTTTTTTTTTTTTTTTTTTTTTTTACCTATATTTGCCCCGATGAATTCAATCCCGAATATATACGCGAGCAATGTAAATAATCTTAATAACTCTCGCACATCTCGATAAATATTCATAAACATAATGCAAATAAAACGCCGATTCGTCATAACCGCGCGTCCACGCTATATAGAGTCGCGCTTATAAATATTGATCCTCCTATAGAATACGACCCGAATGAATCTGATTAATCCGTTCCTGGTTCGAAGGTCGACGAGAGAAAACTTCGCCTGCCGATACACATTGCCGTTATCCCCGGCCCGTTTATACTTTTTTTTTTCTTCTTTTCGATATACGAAGCGTTACGTCCTCGCCTCGGTGAAATCGGCATTATGAAAGGGAAAAATTGGCATCGCATGCGGATCGGATGATGCGGCAACGCGATGCCGATTTCGACAGCCGTCTCGCTCCAACGAGCGACTCGTATTTGCATTATTGCAACTTGCATTTCGGTCGGACGGACTCGATCCTTATTGCCGAGGATCTTATTGCGGCGATGCGATACGTGCCGATCAAATCCATGCCTGGTTTCCTCGAAACCCGAAATATCCTCGCTCTCTATTCGACAGTTATATAGAAAGAGTAATGAAACCCCGCCACGTAAATCGCTGTTATTCTCAGCCCGTCGTCAATATGAATTTATTACGCTATCAATCCGCGAGCGAATATGACCGCGCGACTATACATGCAAGGAACGTCCCAGTGCCTTCGGCTTTACTTTCGACGGCGCGCTCCCTCGGTCGCGATCTAGAGTCGACCGTTCCGTGCCATCTAATCTAAATTTTAGAGACAGATGCGATCGCGATCTAATCTAGGCCTAAAGGATTTCGAGAGGAAAATTGCATTTATACTCGGAAGGAACAATTTTGCTGTAGGATCTAAAAATTTAGCTGGATGCAGATCTGAAAAATAGTTTTGTTGGACCAAAACTCAAAATTATTATGTAGGATGTTTAAATATGAAATACCCCGCCACGTAAATCGCTGTTATTCTCAGCGCGTGACGATAATATTTATGCAAAATTTTTTTAATATTCTAGCAATTAACGTCTTAATTATATATTTATATATATATATATATATATATCCTGATGATTCGATAAAATTATTTTTCATGCGAAAAATTATTTTTCAGATCTATATCCAGTAAAGATTCTGTTCATATTCAGTGTTGGAATGTTGTATTCGATATTCACCGATTAGATCAGGGAATGATTAGTTGCAGCAAAAAAAGTAGTTTTGCAGTAGTTGTAATATGATTGGTTTATACATCTGATTTTCAAGGAATAAGTAGCAAAAACCAATTATATTAATGAATTTTACAACAGTTATAAAGCTACTTTTTCTGCTGAACCCAGCCATTATGGACTGTCATATATGAATGACACAAACTCAACTTCATGAAAAACTCGCAGAAAGTCAAACATGTTTTCTTTCACATCAATCTTTTTGCCGTGAAAAATCATTTTGGAAATATTCAAGAAATTCATAATGTGTTTTATGATAGAAAGAAGAGCGAAAAATATTCAGAGAATTCACAAGGTTCAAGATATCGCGAAAAAAAAAATGCGTTGGCTTCCTGGCCAGTTTTTCATAAACGAATGTCGAGTGCATGAATGATGTGGCAGTCGATACGTTAAATAGGATAACACCGAAGACTTCAGCATATATTTTAACGATCTCCTATTAGTCTGTCCGACGTCGAGTAAATACGGCCGTGAATCGTAATTGTTCTATGCATTTGAGAAAGCCACTATATGCCTATACTATATGCCTATAATTTGTTATTCGAGAATAACATTACCAGAACAACATTAAATAACAACATTGAAATCAATTTTAGAGAAATTCCAGACTTTCTTAGGCTCTTGCATTTTAACTGTTGACTACGCGCGATGTCGGTTTTACTACTCGATATTGCTGAGTAACAACAGTAATCGTCAATGATGCGAGGACTCCTTAAGAGAGACGAGATAAATAAGAGGAGAGGAATCGCTCGCTCGCGAGAGCAAAACGACGAGGCCGAGATTAACACTTGCTCGAGAATATATATATCACGTCTTATTAACTCGCGAGAAAGTCCGTTTTTTCGTTCCGACGGCGCGGCGTGCGGTTTCTCGCCGCAAACGGCCCGGAAACCCGTCGAACGTCACGCCGTGAGATCGTAATCGCGCAAGCGTAATCTCGGCTCTCCGAGGTTAAATAACGCGTTCAATTTTTCGCGATTTCCGACATTAACCAGGCGACCAAGGCGGTGCGGCGCGAAGCGGCGCGGGAGCGACACTCACCGCGCATTATGCAATCAGATCTAATCAGCAAAGTAGAGATGGGCTTAGGTCATCGGAAAGTCTTCACGATTTCGCGACTAATTGCACTTTTTTTATTCGAAACGCATGAGGTGACGCGGCGAAACGGAGCGACCGGTCAGCCGGCCGGTCACGTGTCGGCGCGCGGCGTCGCTACCTCGCCGTGTAATTGCATCGAGAAACAATTAACGATGAGACAGACACCGGGCACGTACGTACGTACGTGACGTCAATTGTCGAAGATAACGGACGCGAGCGCGAGGCGGTAGTAATCGGTAGAGGTGGGCGGCGGGTGCACCGACGACGTAGTTTACGTGGGAGCAACGGGCGGGCGGGCGGATGGGTGGAGGTGGCGGGGGAGGAACGAGCGGCCAGGAGAGCGGTGAGGGGCGAGCGGACGGACGGGCGAGGGGAGGAGGCGCGCGGGCGGGGAGGAGGGAATCGAGAGAGGAAGCGAAGAGAGGGATGGTTCTCGCTAAGAATGGCCGGGGCGGCGGCGGCGGCGGCGGCGTACGAGGGGGCGGCGAGGGCCGAGGGCGCCGACACCGCGCTGTCGGCCGAGCAGCCGGAGCAGCACGGGGGGTGGTAACATGGCCGACGGTCAGTCGGTATCGAACCGCCGCGCCGAGCGGAGCTCCTACGCTGAGTCGCGCGAGTGCCAAAGTAGGCACGGCGACGTAGGTACGGTTCGCGGTTCGGTTCGGTTCGGTTCCATTCCGCTCCGCTCCGTCCCGTGGTGGCGGGCCGGGGATCCCAGCTCTCGGAGGGATACCCAGCGGAAGCCTGACGCGTGCCACAACACGTCCGTGGTCTCCTCACCGATGGGTCCCCTGGAGTACCTCCTCGTCGTCGTCGCCATCGTCATCGCCGTCAATTTTGCTTATCTCGCCTTGCGCGCCTATCGAGAGATCGTAGAAGCGGTCAACCGGTAATTTTCCCGATCGGTCGAGGAGAAGGTAAGTGTCAACGGAGGGATGTCGCGGATCACCCTCCCCGTGAATCGCGCGCACGGCACCTTAGCACCTGGGTGATCCCGGGAATGATTTTGAGAGATCTCTGCGCGATCTCCGCGTTCGATGGAGACTCGAGTCCGCGCGTCCTGACGTCGGCGACCTCGTCTGACGCGCGGGTTTCCTATCGAGGAGTATCGACGGCGATCGATTGGCGGGGTCTCTCTCGATAGGTAGGAGGTCGTTGTCGATCCGTGACGTCAGTCGAGGATTTCTATTGTACTTGTTGCGGGCGGGACTTTGTACCCCGAGAACCTCCTTGTCGCTTCCCTCGAGATCCCATCGCGTATTTTCGCGCCGTTTCTCGCCCTCCTTTCCCTTCTATCCGTCCACGTCCGCGACATCCTTCCGGGATCGGCCTTGCAAACTCGCGTCAACGGCGAATGCGTGATAAGTAATTATTATGAATTAGATACTCGCCGATATCGTTCGAGACGCCTCGGAACAACGAGGCAGAAAATATTGATATTCGTGTTAAAGAAGACTCGCGCGCGACAACGAAGGCAATTACGGGCAATAAAGTTCGAGATCCATCAGACTTTTCGAAGTGGGTCTTTATGAATTTTCATTGAAGCTTTGCGCCTGCGTAAATTGTTCGCACAGGCACGAATACGTGAAAAAAAAAGTCTATATAGCGCACAAGAGCAAAAAGTCACAAAGGGTTGTATACAAAAATCGACGTTTCGAACGATGATGAAAAAAACGTGGCCAAAGACCAGAAAAATTAGCATAAATGAATAACGAGTCTTGCAAAAAAAATTTTTATGTACAAAACATTTAACTGCTTCACTACTATAACAATATGGCATATTTTAAATTTGTTTTCTATTCCTGCACTAGGTTGTGCACTAAAACTTTCCATCTCGCTCTCTTTTAGCAAACTTCCAACATATATATCTATTTCATTTTAAGTACAAGTATACATTTATTTAATTACAAAAATAGACCATTTGATACAATTTTACTATGTTATTATCGTTTCATTATAATTCTCGCATTTTCATTTTTAATCAAGAAATTTTTGTGCACTATAACGCGCTTGTTAAACGCAAATTTATACATCCAAAATATCACAAATTATGCAAAAAGCGCTCCTTTTATTAAAACTATGCTATTTCCGATTGTTGCAGATTAACGAGGGAAGAAAGATTGACTCGTAAAAGCATTTAAGTGAAAGAGAAACTGACGTAAATATGGATACTGGATCTACACAGGGTAAAAAGCAAATCCGTGTCGGATTTTACGACATCGAAGGAACCATCGGCAAGGGCAACTTTGCCGTTGTAAAACTAGCCAGACATCGAATCACAAAAACAGAGGTATACACGCGCCTCAGTATTTGTCGAGCGATGACGTGTTATCTGAAAAAGTAATTGTCATTATTATTGCTGACGCATTTTGTTCTAGGTGGCTATCAAGATAATCGACAAGACCCAATTAGATCCTACTAATTTAGAGAAGGTTTATAGAGAGGTCGAAATTATGAAGCAGTTGGAGCATCCGCATATCGTCAAATTATATCAAGTTATGGAGACGAAGAACATGATCTATATGGTAAGGGTAACGAAGCAGTTGCATTCTCTCTTTCGTTTTTTTTTTTTTGTCAAACGGATTACGTTACGTGTTCCTGTTGCAGGTGTGCGAGTACGCGAGCAAAGGTGAGATATTCGACTATATAGCGCGTTACGGAAGAATGGGAGAGCCCAGAGCGCGGGCGACGTTTGCTCAGATACTCTCCGCGGTCGAATACTGCCATGTAACGGGTGTGGCGCATCGTGATCTGAAAGCGGAGAATCTACTTCTCGATGCTCAGATGAACGTGAAAATCGCCGATTTCGGCTTCAGCAACAGATTCGCTCCGGGGGAACGATTGAGCACGTGGTGCGGCAGTCCCCCGTACGCTGCCCCCGAAGTCTTTCGTGGGAAACACTATGCTGGACCGGAAATCGACGTGTGGGTAAGTCTCGTGTAGGAGAGAGTTTCCGCGAATTTACATCGATTTGGATTTTGAGTATTCTCGTTCTTGTAGAGCCTGGGCGTCGTGTTGTACGTGTTGGTGTGCGGTGCACTGCCCTTCGATGGATCAACTCTTCAGTCATTAAGAGATCGCGTGTTAAGCGGCAGATTTAGAATTCCTTACTTTATGAGCACAGGTAAAATTGCATATAAATGTTATTTACATGCATTCCATAATGTCGTTTACGTTGTATTTACGTTGTATCGAAATTCCTGTTGCAGACTGCGAAAGCCTAATACGCAAGATGTTGGTATTGGAGCCTTCCAAACGATACACCATTCCACAAATCAAGAGGCACCGTTGGATGGCGGGGACGGCAGATAGCATTTGTTCAGTGATCGTAACGCGGCCGTCATCATCCATTCAGGAACCGAATGAACAAATACTTCGACTCATGCATAGTTTAGGAATAGACATTAGTCGCACTAGAGAGGTAAGAAAATATTCCTCTCACTGATATCTTACATGAAAAATTTACATTCAGTACATAATATTTACTTTATAACATTATTTACGCGATATTTATTCCTAAAAAAATAATCATCGTATTCTTAGATTATACATAATTCTAGAAATGAATGACGGCGTTGCCTATCGAATCAAAAAAGATATAAATAGATATTTAATTATATATATATATATATATATATATATATATATATATATATTATTTCGATATATATTGTATCGCATTGTGTAAATATAAATTGTTATCTTTGAACAGTCTTTACGAAATAGCAGTTACGACCATCACGCTGCTATTTATTTCCTACTGCTGGAAAGGTTAAAACAACATCGTGTCAGCAGTACCATTAATAACGCCTGCTGGTCCACTGTTGCAAGAACAAAAGAAGATAAATTTAAATCAAGGTAGACATTGCTAAGATTACTAAGTATCGCGTTATAATTTCTTTTAAGGATTTTATTTCAAATACAATTTCACTTTAGTAACTTCCAATCCTGCCAGTCGGAGAAATATTACAAAAATAATAATGTAATCAATTAACTTAATGTAATCAATTTTTATTTACAGCGATAGCTTAGTGGGACGTTGAACTTTATTGATGGGTGACGCACATATTGAAGATTTTGTCAGGACAGGTCGGATTGAAAGCACATTGCTGTCGCTTTATTTTTGGTAACTTCTCATTTCATTTTCTTATTTTTTCTTTTATCCTAAACCCTAATTTCCAATCATGATTTTAATTTAGTTTCCTTCATCATAAATAAAAAACACTTATTATTTGAGCATTGTTATTATGTTTTAACTATTTAGATCATCAAGTTAATTTCTTATTTTTCTTATCAATTATTTGATTGACAAAATCTAATACCCTGTAAATGTATTTTATTTCTTAAATTTGTATTCATTCTGTACTACTAATAGTTAAACAAATAGTATATCAATATGTAATTCACACGTGTGAGTAGGACAGAAACAAGCAGGATTAATTTAATTATGGTATAATTCTTCTGGATTAATTTTAAAAGATGAAGTGATGAGAATACTCGACTAATACTTTTCGTTGGATAGAACATTCGTACATCGCAAAAACCACGATGGCATAACAAACATTTATTTTAAACGTTAACGAGATGAAAATTTCTTTTTTTGTTTCAGAGCAAGAGACGATAGCAGTAGAGGAGGAAAAAGGTTTAGCTCGACGAGTTCTTCAACTGATGAAGGTTGTTGCAGCGCGGAAGGTGATTTGGAAGAAGGTCCAAGCGGAGACGAATTGCGCGAGGCGCAGATTAAACTTGAGGAGCACAGATTAGGCCTAGATCACGATATCAGTCAACGAATTGACAGTCAGATAGTCAATCGAAGATTAAGTGATTATCAACATCATTTTGATAACCCGCTTATGGATCCTATTGATCCACCCAGTCGAACGACTTTGTTCATGGCGGGCGGTAGCGGTAGCTCGTCGTCGGAACTTTTCGAGTCCAGTTTCGATTCTGGCTGCCCGCCAGATTATACAGGAACGAATTGTTTCACGAGCAGCTTACCATCTTGCACACCACCGCCACCCAAAAGTCCATCCCCTATTACCGGTAGAATATCACGAGTCTCTCAGGGGCGTAGAGCGTCCGATGGTGGATCTAGATTACTGTTCTGTCAGCAAGGTATCAACGATAGGCCATCCAAACAGAGGAGTATTCAAGGTGCGTCATGTTTCTTCGTCCATTCGACAACGCTCGCAACTTCACGATTTAGTAACACGATAATTGAATAACTTTTAGATTCGGGAAAAGCTCGAGGTCATCTGGATCTAGTCCACCTTAGACCACCGTCCACACCGCCCGATAATCAACAGCAATTTAAGATACGCGGCGACTCGGGCACGCAGTTGCAGCTTCTAGTGCAACAACGTATGCTACAGCAAAAGCGTAACTTGTATCACCGGCACAGAGGCGGCGGTAGTCCAACTCCGATCCCGGTTTCTACCGCCGGCAGCACCAGTAGACGCGCTGAACACGTACCGAGGCAAGACAGCTACAAGCTGGCGCAACGTACGCAGATTTTACCGCCTCTCTCTCAGGGACACGTTGACAGAGACTTCGGCAGAGATAGGAAACGAGACGAAGAGAGATGGAAGAGTCTACCGTCCCGCTTGGCAGCGGACTGCCAGTTGGCGGAGAGATCGCTAATATGGAGCCAGCAGGTAAATTCATAAAGAAGTTACTGAAGTAAAAATATAGATAGATTGGGCAAACGTACGACTGAAGCGACGTACAACTATCGGAGCGCTTTTTACAAATTGGACTGTGATTCTGACATTCTCTATTTGGCGAAAGTAAATTAATCGACACGTAGAAAAAGTTGACACTGTAGAAAGTGAAACTGAACAAATCCTTGTACATAGTTCACTCAATGTAGAAGATAAGATATTTCTTTTTTTTTTTTTTTTTTTTTTTTTTTTTTTTTATTGAGAATGTCTCGCATTATTGTAAATGCTCTCTACATTTACAATAGTGAGCTAATGTACATAATGTTATTTAGTACCTACAATGTTATTTAGTACCTGCGATTTATTAGCACAATTATTTATGTTAAGTGCAAATAAATGATTATTTTTCTTTAATTTGGCAGTTATCCTTTATTCTAATTTGCCTGCATGAACCATCCTCGATATAAAAAATTATCGTCTTGTTAATAAATCAAATTTGCGCATTTCAAAACAGGAAAGCTTGAAGAAATCGTATACTGTATATAATCGTATAATTGATTTAATTTTTAAAATAGATAAATATTTTTAAAATATTAGAATAACAATTCAAATTTTCATATCTTTGTATCAATACAATTAAACAGTTGCGCGCATTTCTTTTTATATGTAAATATAAACAATATATTTTTATATACATACTTATATGTAAAATATTTTATTATAAAATTAAAGTGTGTTTATACCCTGCAATGCTTCTATATGAGTTTGCTTGGCACATTTTCTCCAAGTATATGCATAACGAAATATGAACAAGAACATGAATTATTCAAATATTGAAATAACCGATACAATATGAAATATTAGGTGGGTCTTAGTGGAGGTGCGTCTTACTTACCACCTGGCAGTGTAGGTGGTTTCTTGTGGCCCGCCACCAGCAATCCACATTCAACGATCTTCGAGAATGTAGGGGATCCAATGGAATAAATTTCTGCCCTGTCGTTATTAGTAATTGCCTCGAGATCTTGCGTATGAAAAGTCGGCTGAATTACATCAACTCTCAGAGCCAGTATTCCCTCCCTAGTCTTTCCACGTTGACTTTTATTAACATAGTTGCATATCATTTTGCGTCTGAGATAGAGAAATGCGCTAAGATATACGAAGAATTTAGTAACGTTCAACTCATCTATATAATAATTATATATCTTTACATACTCAAGATCTCTGATTAGATGTATGGTATGTGTTACTGAATGCCAAAGATTTACAATTTTATACACTTATTGAATCGGAACATCGCCACTCGAATTGACTGAAGTGCGTACAATAAAAATTGCATATAATATTCCATATAAGTCGTACGCTACTGTACTGTCTCACAAAGTTATCTTATCAAAGTTATCTTTCACTGTCGTACTGCATACTTGTGCATACAACGAAATACATACATGTATCGTTAAAAAAATTGTTCACGCAGAGGAATCTTTATCATACAGTAACACATATACCTGCCTTATTAAAATGACTGATTATTTCAGTCAAATATCCAATTATATCATAGACTGATAATTAACAAGCTGAAACACCAACCAAGTTTAGTTGAAGAGCAAGTGGCATATGACTTGCTTCCATAAACTCCGCTATCGAGAGTATAATCGAAAAGGAAGGAAAGAAAAAGAGAGAACTGTGGAATTTTCAAGTGTTGTTAACGGGATTTTTCATTGATAAATTCGGGAATAGATTTAAAAGGCTTAGAGGCTCATTCATTTTCGTAACTGCTCATATGTATAAAACGAATAACAGGATGTAATGAATTTATGCGATATATAAATCCTTAGAGGATTTTTCTGTACTGCCAATGAGTGAGAGAAACGTGAATGCTCAAGTTGTTGACGAGATATTATAAATATGTTATAGAGTAAGGCGTAAGAGAAAAATGAAGAGAACGACAAAGGAAAATAATAGCGAATGAAAATAGAATTAAAATCTTTTCATAGCGGAGCACAAGTACTATGCCATTTATGCTTTTCCATTAATTTAATCGAAGAGTGGAGATACGACGCGGGTTTAAAAGAACCTTTTGTTATGTTTTTTTAATGGGTGTTCCATATTGTACAAAATTAGAGATATTTTCCTCTTCCACTCTTCACGATGGTGACCATAGAAAAATAGAGGAAATAATAACGAAAAACAATAATATTAGTGGTAAATAGTAGCTAATGTGTCAGAAGTGCTGCATTCTGTAAAGAAGTTTAAATAAATTGTTTGCGCGATTATTTCCTACGTAAGCATAAGTTAACTATATTTTGCATATATTATCTCTTTCTAGAAAATATATTTATAGCCACTGTATTAACAGCCGCACTACTTTTATACAAGTATCTTTCATGAATCGTTCTCCGACTCTAAATATGATTTCGTCTAAACAGAATATTTTCTATTTCAGCGGCTCGATTTTGAGCTTCTTGCGTAATTACAATTATTAGGAGACATTAAGGGGAAACAATAATGAGAGATTACAGAACCGTTTGTACGTTTGATATGAATACAGCACTTACAAAACAATATATATGATATATACATATATTATTAGAATCTAGCAATCTAGTCAGTAGCAAGCAATACCGGCCGCGCACAACTGACAACGACTTTACTATTCAAATTTTTCGCCATTTTTTACCCGACAGGAAACAATCAAACTTCGCTCAAAACTGTTTTGATAAGTCAAATCATAATTGTTAAGTTAGCCTAATCGCAAACAAAAATCCATCATCCACAAACAGGACATCGATATAACGCAAGATATGCATAAATCTCAGGAATTGAAAATCAATTTCGGCATTGTTGCGAGTTCTTACGCCTGTCTTTTTCGGACTCACCTACAACCCTTTGGATCGCAAAATTAGAATTAAAATAGAGTTATGAGATTATTAGCAGCAATAAATTGATTTTACCTGTCCATCAAGATGCGAACGCAATTCTGTAATACGGAAGATTCTGCGACAATTATATGTGATATTACTTGTTTTATATGTAAGCTATTGTTTTATAATGTATAATCTGTTTAAGGACTACAATCCGTTATGCGGAAGTAATTATTTGCTATCAAGCACTGACTGCCATATGGACAATTTGTCACCAATAAAAAAAGGAGAATAAAGAAATTGACCTGATACACGGTCATTTCGCTTATATATGTATACAATGTAACATGTAAATTCCGTTTTTCATGCTCTTAGCAAAGTGCGCTATCACATACTATCACTTCAACAGTCATATACGATAGTAAGTAGTTACTTTTTGTAAATTGCAAAATTGTCGACATATGTATACAAGCGAGTTCTAAATAAAACATATGCAGATTGAGATCCAAAGCAATGTGTTTTAAGTATATAGAAGAGGTTTTATTTTTCGATGTAATAAATATCCACAAAACTTATATTTACATTAGTATTATATACATTAAAATAAAACTTACAATGGTTTGCCCGCATCAAACAAGTCACAACCTGTTTTATGAGCATTGTCTTTGGCTTGTTGCGGTGTAAGTTTTTCATACTCGTTAGGATTTAATGGCTCTCCATTTTCATCCAATTGACCATTTTTAAAATCTTCTTTTATCTTTTCGGCATAAAATAGATCAAATAAATCCTGCGCAGTGAATTCTGGCTCCTTAATGTCTTCTACTTTATATGATACATATGGTTTCAACTTGAATCCTTCCAATGAGGGAACGATTAATTCGGGAACCATTTCTGGTACGTGAACCCACAGATTGCCAACCTTGTATCCAGTATCCCTTGTTCCCCTTTCTGTAATATATTACAGCCATTTATCAATACATGCCATACAATATCTCTAACTTACTCAATTACTGATAGCAAAAAGATCGTTTTCTACATCATTTATAATTTACTCGCTTTTTATCTTATTACATATATGTCATATACAATAAAATTAAGCCATATTTACTTGTGGATATAACCTATTGCTCAAATATCACATGTCTCTAAGCCATTAACTTACTATCTATCGGTATCTCGGGATCTGGATTTTTTGCCTGCTTTTCCTTGAAGCTTCGACTGCCACGTTTACCATAAAGCAAGAATTTTCGAAAATTCCGTTTTCCGTTACAGACACAGGACGTCGCGATACTGCGTCGCAACATCATACACGAAGATGCCATTATCGATCTGTTGATTAAAAAACAAATCGATACAATTACACGTTATAGTTAAATACAATACTAACTATAACACAAGGAATTTATTAATATTTTCAATCAAAGATGTATTAAACATAACCTAGTCTACAGTTATGTGATATACTTGATAATAGCTGTAGCTTTCAAGCGGTGCCAGCCAATACGAACCACGGATTCTTCTGTTGATATATTATGATTTACGTCAAAAGTATTATGGTGTAAGAATACAAAGAATACGCTCTGGCGCACACTTTTCTAATAGCCAATGGCTGCGTTTCAGCAGAGAAAGCAGCTTTACACTGTGTAAAAAATCGTTGATATGATTGGTTTTTGCCATTAGTTCCTCATGGATCTAAACGTATAAACCAATCATATTAAAGGATTTTACACATTGCAAAGTTACTTTTTCTGCTGAACGTAGCCAATAAGAAACTGATAGCAGATATCACCATGCTGTTGCGACAATTCGAATTCGATATTATTTCATTATTGTTTGTAAGTAAAATAATATCATTACTCTCTGATACGATATCATGTATATCTAGAGTGATTAGTAAATTTCGGAATATCAACCTTAGAAAATCGGGACACAATAAAAAAAAAAATCGGGATTTTTCATATTACAGTAAATTATTGTAATATAATAAATATATTATATTAACATTTATATTTGTCTGTTCTTGATTATTATACATATTTAGATATAGCTTAACATATTAATTTTTAAACTGAATATATTATATAAATAATATACATATAAGTAGATAAATACATTTTTACATTTTTACATTTGTTAATAAAATCAAATAATAAAATCAAACATAAAATTATATAAAATGTATTTAAAAATTATGTTTTTTTAATTTTGAAGTTATATTTTTTGTGATTTTACATGTTTAAATATATTTTTATGTTTCAATACATATTTCATTCTTTACACGTAAATGGATAATTTATTTTAATTTGTAGTTCTGCTTTTACATCTTCTATGAGCAATCTGTTTCTATTATCGTTCTAGATATTGTTACATAGTGAAAATACATGCTCTGCTGAAGCATTTGAAACTGGAATTGAAGCTACAAATTGAAATTTTTGTAGAAAGTTTTTTAAATCTTTATTCTGACTAAAAAGCTTGTGCCATTTTTCATATGAAAATTTTGCTTGATTTTCAAAGGTTTCATTTTCTAAAATTATAATATTTAAGATTTTTTTTTGCTTTACAATATTCTTCATACAGTTCGTCCATGTCTATTATGTGATCAAGAGATAATTTGATTAATACTTCATAAAGTTTGTTAGAGTTATAAACATCATTTTCAAAGAAAAAATTTTTATTTTCGATAAAATACTGTCTTCAGAAAAATCAAATGTTTTTCAATATACTTCAAAACATTTTTATATCACATTATTAATTGATTTTTAATAGAAATTTGCTGAGATATCGACAATCGTTGTAAGCCATTTGAAGCTATAAAATCTATAAATTCGTCGGCTAGCTGCCAGTGATTGCCTACTAGAGTATCGCTTTCACATGTAACCGTGTTACTGCGTGTTATTGCGTCTGCAGTGCAGTTAGCACTGCTCTCGGATTCCCGTGAAAAATCGGGACAAATGGCGTCCCGCCTAGAGTTCTTTCAGGATCTAAAGCCCTGAAAATCGGAATATCCCGCAAAATTCGGGACGGTTGGTCACCCTACTCAGGAACATCTTATAAAAATGCACCCGAATTGTATTTTCCGCCAAATCATTATTATCGAGCGGTAGTGAGAGAACTGTAGGCATCCCCTTCGAAATCGGGCTTTCGAAATCGGGCGAAATCGGACAACTTCTGGAAATTATGGTTTGCACGTGTATAGAGAAAACATATTATTGATCACAAAGTTTTTGAATATTATGCGTTGTATTGCCTTAAAAAAATTAAAAAATATATAAATATTTAATTTAATACGGCTTTCATAACATGCTACCAGAAGATTTTTTCTCTTTAGAAGATATACCTGGATTATGCACAAACAGGTAAATTAAATATATGTATATATGTACATAAAATTCGACAAGATGAAATGGATCAAACTAAGCAGAAAAGTCCTCAACTATTTTGCGATTTTTGCTATTAATTATGAGTTTATCATATTTTAATTATTAAAAGTCAAATAAGCATATATCCATTCGACGTATTGTCAAATTTAGAAATGCTCGTGGCTCGTCGCTAAATATGTACGCTAGTGCGAAATTTTGACGCATTTTGACGCAAACTGGCGAGTAAAAATGATATTAAACATTGTTTTGACGAAAAATGATATCAAGATGATGACAAACAATGTGTTATTTCAGACCAATCAAAAGATGAGCACCATTTTTTACACACGTTCGTAGTTTCTGGAAGTGCGATAAAAATCGCTAAATGATAAAGGACTTTAATTTTTATATATGAATTTTTTAATATATATTTTTAAATTATAAAATTAATAAAATTATAAAATTTTTTAAATTATAAAAATATGGAATTAAAATTTGCTTAATGTGCGTGTAACATCTAATGACATCTAGTTCTATAATAGAGAAACATTTAATAGCGTTTTCGAATACAATAAGTTTTGAATTTTTCTCGGACAGGACTTTGGAACGTAGTCTTGAAAGAGGCTGTATTATAATTATTATTTTATAAATATTACGAAATTGAATATATTCCAAGTATAAAAATTTTTTAATTTCAAACACCCTTAAATTATTAAAAATGCAAAATGTAAAAAAAGAGTCACTTAAATTATTTTGCGATGATGCATTTTCTGAAAAAATATCAAATTATGTTTGGAGACTGTAGATGCAGCTAGGATATTTATAATAAAAATAAAAATATTACTCGAATAAAAATATTACTCAGAAAATATATCAAAGGACTTTTAAAAGCATATTAATAATGAACTCGATTGGGTGCACTCCAGTGCGCACTGAGTGCTCCCTTTCTTATCGACATTGGTAAAAGTGAGACGGACGATACTCAGTGCGCACTGGTGCGCCCAATCGAATTCGCTATAAGTAAATTTGAATACATGTACGATGAGTCAAAATAACTCATATGTCCTTCAAGAGATCATATTTCCTAATATTCCTAATATTCTGAGACGACTCTCATATTCTGAGACGACTTTTTCTTTGGCAAATATATATATATAAGCACTTTATTACAGGTACATTTTTATCTGCCTTATTCTATATCAACGTTTACGATAAACGCTTATGTTTCATTTTTTATCATTGGCCAAAAATGAAGAAACTATGGTCATATAATCGATTATTGTAATCAATCATTTTATAGCACTGTGAAAAACAAAGACAATACGATCAAGAAACATCTTACTGGAGAAAACGATGAGTGAATTCAACGATGAAGATTTAGAAAACCAATTTTTTCGTGAATTTAGGAGAGAAGTGAATGCTGAATATACAAAAAATAAGCAAGGAACAACAAAATGAAGAACAAAGAAAACTGCCAACATGGACTAAAAAGGATGAAATTATCAATACTATATCCGAGAATCAAGTTATTCTTATTTGCGGTGAAACTGGATGTGGAAAAAGCACTCAGGTTGCAATATTTCATAATATATTGTATTAATAATGGAGCCAAGAAAGATAATAAAAATAATAAAAATGTTACAGATACCACAATTTATTTTAAATAATTCGATTGAACAAGCGAAATTAAAAGATGAATTACATGTTAATATAATATGTACTCAGCCTCGTAAAATAAATGCGATAGGACTTGCAAATCGAGTGGCAGCTGAGAGAAATGAGAAGGTAGGAGATATAGTCGGATATCAGATACATTTAGAAAAAAAGTTATCAAAGAGAACGCGACTGACATATTGCACCATTGGTATACTATTGCAAAAATTAATAGGAGATCGCAATCTATTAGGTGTGACTCACGTTATAGTCGATGAAGTGCACGAAAGAAGTGCTGACAGGTAAAATAATCTTACTTCTATTTTTGAGTATTTTTTCTTACATTTTTTTTTCTTTTTTTTTTTATAGTGATTTTCTACTGATGCTTTTGAAGGACTTATTGCCAAAAAAACTATCTTTGAAAATAATATTGATGAGCGCGACACTTAATACCAAGATTTTTTCTTCATATTTCGGAAATGTACCAATTATAAATATTCCAGGAAAACTTTTCTCAGTGGAACAACTCTTCCTTGAAGACATACTCGAGAAAATAAGATATGTTTTCGTAAAAGATTCTAAATTTGTTCATCAAGAAAAAAGGAAAATAGTTTTTCAAAAACAGCAAAAAGCAGAAAAATTGTTGACTAACTTAACTGACTCAGATATTCCAATAGGAAACTTAGATGATCGAGTTAACGAATATCTCGAAGACGAGGATTTGACGTTAGAGCAACTCATTAATAGATATCCAAATTATTCTAAACTGACGCATGAAAATTTATTTCTTATGGATCACAAAAGAATTAATTATGAGCTGATAGAAAAGATTTTAGAATGGATTATCAGCAGAAAACACGGTTATCCCAGAACGGGCTCTATTCTGGTATGCATATTCAACATTTTGTCCACTCCTTATATTTGTTCTTACAACATGTCGCAAAAGTTATTATACACTAATATAGTATAATGAAATAAAAGAATAATATATGTAATATTTTATATAATTAATATCGCAGGTATTCTTACCAGGCGTGGAGGAGATAGCTACATTAATACAGCAGCTAAATCGCAATATATATCTGTCTGTTGATAATAAAATCGTAATATATCCATTACATTCGAGCATTTCAATGGAGGAACAGAATCGCGTGTTTCAACAAACCAAAGACGGTGTCCGAAAAATTGTGATCGGTACAAATTTGGCCGAGACATCTATCACCATAAATGATTGCGTATTTGTGATCGATTCAGGAAAAATGAAGGAAAACAGATTTAATTCAGATAAGAACTTGAACTGTTTAGAGACTTGCTGGATATCGCAAGCGAATGCTTTGCAAAGAAAGGGTCGTGCTGGTCGAGTGATGCCTGGAGTCTGCATCCATTTGTATACTTCACACAGGTGAATATCATAATTTTGTCGAAGGGACAATTTCAACCATTTCTGATTAATTTAATCAACCAATTATTCCATTGGAATCACATTTGTCAAACAGTCAATTTTACAATGCGATTGATCAGTTCCAATGGCCGATTAAATTAATCAGAAATAATGAGACTGACATTAATATAATAAAATAATAATTAAATGTGATAATATATATATATATATCTAATTTTGTAGATTCAAGCATTTCTCCGTAGAACAAATACCGGAAATACTAAGAATCTCTTTGGAATCGCTACTTCTACGTATTCAACTTATGCACGATGGCAGAAAAATAAATCTATACAATATATTAAGTCAGAAAACTTTTTCCGTGCTTTATACTTTCTATAGTTTCTTTATTTATTTTTTAACGTAATCAATCTCTTCTTAAATCCTTTCCATTCAGGTCAAATACTGCAACCACCATCGCCTAAGGAAATTAAGAACGCAATAATACGTTTGCAGGATGCCGGTGCATTTAATTCTGATTGTGTATTGACACCTCTTGGTCATCATTTAGCCAAATTACCCGTAACTGTAGGAATCGGAAAATTGATACTGTACGGCGCGATTTTTAATTGCTTAGACTCAGTGCTTACTATCGCCGCATGTCTATCACACAAGAGCCCATTTAACGTACCATTTGAATTAAGAAAGGAAATAAATCCCAAATTAAAATTTCTCGTAGCTAACTCAGATCACTTGACTATCCTCAGAGCATACACGGTAAACAATTATAAAATCATTTCTGATTATTAATTTTGTTGGTTTTAAGTAGAATAAATAAATATAAATAGAAAAAAAAGAATATATACAAAAACATGCTTATAAATGTTAATGCAACTAAAAGGGCTCGATCACAACCCTTGCGCCGTCCATCGATACAGATGAGCCGTTAGATACATATGAAGACAACATACACAATTGTGTTGTTGTGTATCTATATAAATGAAGCATGTTATGTTATATTATTCAAAAAGTTTAATAATATATTTCATCTCTTATAAACGTTTATTTCTATAGGAGTGGCGCGCCGCGTGTAGCAACAGTAAAAGTGCTGGTAAAACATTTGCCAAGGAAAATTACTTGTCTATATACACGTTACATACTCTAGCGGACATGAAACATCAGTATTTGGAGTTGCTAATATCAATTGGTTTCGTGTCTGCTAATTTGTCCGATCGAAAGTTCAACGTTGACAATATCTTAGACATCACTGGAGCTGAACTGAATACAAATAATTGGAATTACAAGCTCCTGCAGGGTCTCATTTGCGCAGCTCTGTATCCTAATATTGTAAAACTTGACAAACATCCCAATCAACTTAATGCGCAACACTTGGCACTTCAAACGAGAAACAATATTTTAGTCAAAATCCATCCGACGTCCGCAGTTTCTCAAATCAACTTTTTCTCGAGCCCATATTTGGCTTATCAGCAGAAGCTCAAAACCAAAGAGGTCTTTATTCTAGAAGTATCCATGATTCCAACCTTGCCTTTGATAATATTCTCCGGTTATGAATTAAACATAGAACATCGTGATGGAAAATTTATAGTTTCTCTAGACCATGGCTGGGTTATACTTGAAGTGACTTCATTACACGTAAGATTAAAATTATAATAAAAAGTATTTTAACTGTACATTATATACTTCTATAATATATCTTTCAAGGAGGGAGAATTACTGCAAAAAATGAGAATTGACTTAGGGATATTGTTAACACGGAAAATGAAGAATCCTCTACTGAATCTCTTAAGCTGTCCAAGAAGCAAAGAAATTATAGATACGATTGTAAATGTAGTGACAAATAATTAAAATAGACAGAACATTAATATAACCTGAATCAACAGCGAGAAATGGACAATTTCTCGCGAGCAAGATCTTATTGCTAAATTTTTATATGAAATAAATTCAAATAATTATATCAACAACTACGAATTCTATAACAACTCGATAATCAAATACTTTGATATCGATTAAAATTCCTTTTTATTATCCCCCTCCCCCCATAAGAAATATATATTGCGAAAAATATCATCCCACCAGAGATCGAATCTGGATCGCTTGCTCACCGGACAGGCATTTTATCCGTTAGACCGATATAATTAAAATCACAATAATTAAAGAGTTATTAATTTATACAGATCCGCGAATAAGCGAGATTCGTGCAAAAAAGTAGCTTAGCATTATGCTCACGATTGCTAGATGTGTGGCAACATATTTGAAGGCGTGTACTATAAAATAACAAATGTTCTGTCATTTGTAGATCATGTTCGAATATTTTGTCGCCCAGCTAGCAAACATAACTCATACGTAATGTTGGATTGTTCCTTCGCGTGGGTGCTCGCTCATTCGCGGATTTGTATAAATTAATAATTTTTTAATTATTACGAAAACTGGTACAACACTTTCCGATTCAATATAACGTGCTCTATTTGCCTACGAGCAATAATAACAATTACATGTGTATATCATAGAAAAAAGTTTTATGTTATTGACAGATAAATGATATTTTATATTTGCAATTATCGATAACTTAGAAAAAATTAGAAATTTAGAAAAACTTAGAAAAAGAAATTTTCTATTTCAGTAATATTCTATTTCAATAACCCAGTAAACATCGAAAGTGTGAAAAGATATCTTGAAAAATATCTTTTCAGCTTTTTTCACCAAATTTCAAGATATTCTAAAAGATGTCTAAAAGATATCTAAAAGATTTCATTGATATCTTCGTAGATTCTCGAAAAGATATTTATAGATATCTAAAAGTTATCTTAAAAATATCTTTAAAATTTTCTCAAGAAATTTTAAATATGGACATCCTGAAGACATTTTAAAGTAATCCTAAGAAAGTCCAAAAGATATCCTGATATTGTATGTGTGAAAGACATCATGAAAAGGTATAAAGATATTCCGAGATCACAATAAAGCGCTTATTTACAAGTCCAGAAACCTGAACATGTTTTAAAACTTTAAAAAGAAGTAGGATATCCCGTTTCCAGGATATCTCGCTAAGATATTCTGAGAGCGTTCTGAGAACATCCATGTGTTATTAGAATGTCTATGTAACTTATTAGGAGTTCTAAGGAGTAGTGCATGCGCAATACACGATGCCGATTTCAGCTAGCATTGCATAGCCTCTCCTACTCAATTCCTATCCTCATCTCCACGAAGTATAACAGAAGGATGAACCCCGGAGAATCAGAGCAATTCTGCTGGAGATTGGGTAATCAATGGAAGGCAGGATCTGGACTGACAAGGAAGGGAGAATTGGTCCTCTGAAAAGGAGGTTAGGCTATGGACTAACAACCCATTTTCGAAAAACTTATTGTTACAAACCCTCTAAAGAAGTCTCGGAAAGAATGGATACACAAGTAACGACTTAGGCGATGGAACGGCATAATAAATAATTATTTTATAAAAGTTAAGCTTAGTTGCTGCTGTGTATTATCATCTGCAAGAAAGATACTTCGATATTACCTCGATCGAAGTTATATTCTCCAAACATAATGCAGCGACAGCTTCCTTGCGTTTTTTAAATTCCTCTTCGGATATGGTAATTATACTAGACAGACCTAAAGGCAGACTAAGGAAGAAATGGAAGGATGGCGTCGCGGAGGGTGGGAGGAAGACAGGAATTGGTAACTGGAGGAGAGTGACGAGAGATGAGTGAAGGCGCAAGTTGGAGAAGGCCCAAGCCCGATTTCTCTCTCT